ACAGTCCCACCTTCGATCGCCTGCGGGAGGAGCTTCGAAATCCTGGAAAAAAGAGTCGGGGCCGTGGACGTGGCGTCCGAGGGCCCCCCTCCTCCCGAGGCCGATGACGTTCCCGAGAACGATCGCTCGACCGATCCCCTCGAGCGGGAATCGGCTCGGCGGCTCGCTCCGAGTCCGAGCGTCGGCTCGCGAGCTCGAGGGCTCTCCGACGACGCGCGGGCCCCGTCGGTCTCCGAGGCCTCCGGACCGGGAGGGCCTCCGCTTCCCGGGGGAGGTTCGGCGTCCTCGGACTCCTCATTGGCCGGCCCTCGTAGGCTCAAACCCCCTCGGGCCCCAGAAGCGATCTTAGCGGACAAGAGGGCTCGTCTTACCCCAATCGAGGAGCAGGAGGAGACCCCTTCCGTCAAGCAGCGAGTCGCGGCGATTGAGGAATCGCCCCAACCCAGTGCGGACACCGCTTCAAGCCCCGATCCGCCAGCGGCGACCGTCGCCGATCAACCGCTTGCGTCCCAGGAGAGTGCCTCCAGAACGACGCCTTTTGCGGCCAGTCCGGGGAGCTCCTCGGAGGGCGTCCCTATGACTCGGGCACCGTTTTTGCCCTCGAGGCCGATCGGCGCTGGTCTCGATATTTCCGCGCCGCGGGCTCGGCGCCCCGCGGGGAGCTTTCCCCCCCCTGGCAGACAGAGGAGTAGATCCCCGGACCGATCGATGGGAGGGGACCTGGGGGCCCGGCTGGCGGAGTCGGCGGGGCCAGCGGAAGCTGGCGAAGAAGATGACACCTGGCGGTTGCCCGACGACTTCCAGGATGACGCGTTGATCCAGGAACTTAGGGGCCGGTTTCGAGCGGGGGAAGCTCCCGCACGATTTAGTATTCTCGCGGGCCTGGCAGAGTCCAGCGAGGCCGAGATGTCCTTCGCTAGTGCACGCCCTGGCCGGCACCCCCCTTTGAAGCCCAGAGGGGCTGAGATCCAGCTGAAAGATCTGACCCCAGAAGATCGCGCTCGCTTCGTGGTCTCTGACGCTACGGAGTGGGTGGCGATGCTGGCTACGGGTGCTGTTCGCGTTCTCTCGCCCGGAGAGTCCCTGAACGTGCGTCGGCGCCACGCCGACCGAATACTGTCTTCTCGGATGGTCCGACGTTTAAAGCGGGTCGAGGGAGTAGGGGCCCTCCCGGAGCCCAAGTCACGATGGTGTGTCCACGGGCACCAGGATCCCGATAGCGAATCCCTAGAAGTCTACGCCCCTACTCCCCAGTCGGAGAGCATCCTTACTTGCCTGCAGGTTGCCTGTTCTTTTGGATGGTCTTTGGCCATCGCGGACGCGAAGAACGCATTCTGTCAGAGTCAGAAACTAGAGCGGCCTAAGGGGGCGATATACGTCGAACCGTGCTCTGGCCTTCCTATCGGGCCAGATCAGCTGATCGAGCTTATCGCCCCTGTCTACGGGCTGAATGATGCCCCGCTGCTCTGGCATCGGACTCTGACGGACTGGCTGAAGGCCGAAGGCTTCATCAAGTCCCTGCTTGAGCCCTGCCTGTGGCTCCGCCGGGACGAGATGGGGGCACTGGTGGGATTAGTCTTGATCGAGGTCGATGATCTCATAATTACGGGGCGCTCCGAGTTTCAGGAGACCTTTAGGGATCGAGCGACGAATCGATTTAAGTTTGGGAAGTGGAAGGTGGGGGAGGCCGACTTTGCCGGCCGTCATCTGTGCCAGCTTAAGGACAGGATCGTGGTCGACCAAGAGAAATACATCAGAGAACAGTTGGCTCCGATGCCCCTGGAGAGATCTCGTCGAGCGGACCTCGACTCTCCCCTATCTCCGGCTGAGGTCCGATCTTGCCGAGCCGCTATCGCCCAGGTGCAGTGGGTGGCTCGCGAGTCGAGGCCGGACGTGGCAGGCGGAGCCTCCATTTTAGCAGGCGCGATGCCGAATCCTACGGTGGGTCATGCAGTGACGCTGATCAAAGTGTGCAAAGATCTTAAGGCGACTGCCTCACAGAAGATAACGATTTGGGCCCTGGACCCCCTGTCCGTGACTTTCGTGACTGCGTCGGACGCTTCGGGTCCCGGGTCGGCGAGTCGCAGAGGCTCCCAAGGAGCCTGGATCGTCATGGCCGCGGATGCCGCCATCCGCGCCAATCAGCGGGCCCGAGTTTCTGTTTTGTCCTGGCGTTCCCAGCGTTTGAAACGTGTTATCAGCTCCACGGTGGCCGCCGAGGCCCTTTCTCTAAGCGGGGCCACTGCGGAGGCGCAATGGCTTCACATCCTTTGGAGGGACACCGTTTTCGGCGACGTCAATCGACCGTCCTGGAACACGAGTGCCTTCCCGTTTTCGGTGGTTATGTCCGCTCGCTGTAGTTTGCATGAACAAGCGGCGGCTCTGTCTATTGTGGATGCCAAGTCGGTCTTCGATACCCTCTCGAAGAATGCCGCCGGGTCCCGATCGGATCGTCGAAATGCTATTGAGCTGGCCGTGATTCGAGACTCCCTTTCCGCCGCGGGCTCGCAGATTCGTTGGCTGCCCCATGGCCGCATGCCGGCCGACCCCCTCGCGCACGCCGACCCCGCAAAATCGAACCTTGCCCTTCACGATTTGCTCTGCCGGGGCACCTTGTGCCTGATAGATGAGGGAGGGCACCTAGACGAACGTTCACTTAATGCTGCCCTGAAGTCCCGTTCTCGAGGAGCCAGTAGGAGAGCTTTACTGGAGGAGGCCCAAAAGCGGGACGAGGAGGAGATGAGGAGAGGTGAGGGGGAGGTGGGAAGCACGAGGAGGTCCCCAAGAAAAGAAACTGAGGAGGGAGCTAGGAAGCCCGCGAGGATTCCCAAGGACACCGAGGAAGACGAGGAGGCGAGGTACTGTTACTCGGAGGGGAGACTCGGCGTCGGCTCACGCCGAGGGTCAGAAGGAAGGAAGGAGGAGAAGGAGGAGAAGGAGCCCGAGGCCCCCGGAGAGGCAGGACGCCTGCCCAGAGAGGCCGGAGAGGCTGGACGCCTCCCCACGTCGGTGCTGCGGAAAACCGACCAGGCCGGACCCCTGTCGCCCATGTGGATATCTATACCGGAGTCGAACCCGGTAAAGTTGGGTCCGCTGTCATCCTACGATTCCCTGGGGTGCGTTCTCCGTTCGCCTTTCCCCCTCCCTTCGCGTTCTCCTGCGGTATATAGCCAATTTGGCTTAGGATGTGACTCCGAGGAGTCGCTGAGAGGATGAGCGAGGCCTTTCGATAAACAAGTTTATCTCCACACTCGCCCTTTGTCTTTCCATTGGCCCGTCGACCCTGTGACAGCACGCGGATGCTGCGGTGTACACAGGCGCTGTGGTGTGCACAGGCGCTGCGGTGCACGCGAGCATTGTCGTGTACAAAGGCGTTGTGTAGCACGTGGTTGCGGCGGTGTTACACATTCGCTGTGGTGTACACCGGCGTTGTGGTGCACGCAAGCACTGTGGTGTACACAGGCGCTGCGTCGCACACGGCTGTTGCGGTGCACGCGAGCATGGTGGTGCACGCAGGCGTTGTGGGGCAGGTCGCCACTTACATGCTACATGCTGCTCGTTTCGTCGTCACCGTCGTCGTCGTCGTCGTTGGTCGTCGCTCGTCGCTCGTCGCTCGTCGTCGTGCGCGCGGGCGCAGCTGTGGTGCCGGAGCCACGCGGCGGGGGGGAGGCGTTGCAGTATGCCCCCCCCGGCCTTGCCTATTATCTCCGAAAACTAAGGGACGCGCTCTTGGTGGGAAAATTGATTTCGAATTCCATTTATCTTCGCATACTCATATTAATCAATATGGGAGAGAGAGAGAGAGAGAGAGAGAGAGAGAGAGAGAGAGAGAGAGAGAGAGAAAGAGAGAGAGCGTGATCCACCGCCGCTTTACTGTGGAAAATTGCCACCCTTTTCCTCCGGAGCCCGGGGTTCCCCCCCCCATCGAAAATCCCCCCCCCCCCCTGCTGGACCCCCCCCATCCCTCCCCCGGCAAAACCCCCCCCCTCCCCCCCCCTCCCCCTCGAAAACCGGGGGGGTCACTACCGGTTCGAACCCCCCCCCCCCTCGAAAACCGGAGGGGGGGTCACTACCGGCTCGAACTCTTCCCAATCCCCCCACACACCGCCAGCAAACGACTCCCGGTCCCTACCACCGTCCGCGCCACATCCCCCACTGTTGTTCCCAGCACCACTGTCCTCACCACCACTGTCCCCACTGGTTCCACCACCGTCCCTACTGTCCCCACCAGTGCTCCCACCACTGTCGCACTGTCCCCACTGTCCCCACCACTGTTCCCACCACGGTTCCACTCTCCCCACTTTCTCCACGGCCCCAACCACTGCCCGACTATCCCCACTGTCCCCACTGTCCCACTGACTCCTCCGCTGTCCCACTGAGCTGTCCCACTGTTCCCACCACTGTCCCCACTGTCCCCACCACCTTCCCCTCTGTACCTCTGTCCCATTGTCCCACCGCCGCCCTCGCCACCGCCTTCACCACTGTCCCCACCACCACTGTGCCCTCCAGTGTCCCACTGTTTCCACCTCCCCGTCCCCACACCACTGTCCCCACCACCGCCGTCCCCACCACTGTCCACTGCCCCCACTGTTCCCACCATTGTCCTCACCACTGTCCCCACCCCTACAGTCCCCACCACTGTCCCACTGTCCCCACCACTGTCCCGCTGTCCCCTCGCCACTGCCCCTACCACCACCGTCCCCACCACTGCCACTGTCCGCACCCCCACTCGGTTTTCGAGGAGGGGGGGGGGGTTCGAACCGGTAGTGACCCCCCCCTGTTTTCGAAGGGGAAGGGGGGGGGTTCGAACCGGTAGTGACCCCCCCCCTTTCATGATGAACTGGGGGGCGGGGGAGGGGTTCGAACCGGTAGTGACCCCCCCCGGTTTTCCGGAGGGGGGGGGAGGGATTCGAACCGGTAGTGACCCCCCCCCGTTTTCCGCCAGCAGCGGTAGAACACGCTCTTTCTAATATGAACAACTCCTTGCGACGGCCCCGCAGGTCGCTTGACCTGGAGCACCTGCAGCTGTCGCCGCCGTCCTGCTTGCCGATGGCGGCGCTTTTGCCCGACGATGGGGACGGGTGCTTCCCGCCCGAGGCGCGGCAAAAATCGGCGGACGAGAGCGCAATTCGGCACTCGCTTGTGAAACCCGAGCAGTGTTTGTTTGCCACTCTGCTGCTGCAGAAGGCAGTGCCGAAGGGCAGCGCAGGTGCACGATTCTGGGCAGGGCCGGTGGCGGCGGTGGCGGCGGCAAATTGTTGGGGCACTACGCAGGTTCATGGGCCTGAGTGGGCTGGGCTAGCGACGCCGACGATCTCTGGGGGCGCAGCGCAGGGGCGTGATGCTAGGCGGCGCTGGTGGTGGCAACGAGCCTTGGGGAATGGACAGTCGGGGCGCAGGGCTCGGCGGAGCTGTTGGCGAGGACGAGCTGCGGGGGTGCGCAACGCCAGGTGCGACAACGATATTTTGGCGCGGCTCACCTGAGGTCGACCAGCGTCGGGGGGCGCAACGCCAGGGAGTGCCAAGCAGGGCGACCATCGTTGGGGGCCGCATCGCTGGTGAGTGTGCCAAGCAGGGCTTGCGGCGACAACGCGCATGTGGGGGGTGCAGCGCTGTAGCATGGGGGCTGGGCGGTGTTAGTGGCGGCAACGGGTTCCGGCGGGTGCGATGGAGAAGCACGATGGCATGGGATCCGCGAGGACCAGGGGTGGGGACGAGCGTTGGGGGCGCAACGCTGTGGCATAGGGCTGGATGGGACTGGGCTTGTTGGGGGGCGCAATCCGGATGCTTTGGGTATGCGGGGCCGATGGCGGCGGTGAGCGTTGGCGGGTTCAACACGCAGGCATTCGGGCTGCAGTCGGTGTCGGCGACGAGCTTCGGTGACATAGCGCAGGGGCAAGTGACCAGACGGGGCTGGTGGCGGCGACGAGCTGGGGGTGGTGCAACTCCTGGGCATGGCTAGGCACGGCTAGTCGTGTTGACAAGTTTTTATGAGGGGGCAGCGCAGGGGCGTCGGGCTAGGCGGGGCTACTGTCGGAGACCTGCTTTGGGACGCAACGCCAGTGCATATCTTACATCCTCTGTCGGAGCCCCAATTGTAAGCACTGTTTCGAGGTGCGAGACCTGACCAGAATCCAGCTTTCTCCTGTCAGGGACGTCTGTCTTTGGGCCAGGCGCACCGCCAGGGAGGGCGGCGCGCCGCCTCCCTTCGGGCCGCCGCTCAGCTCAGCTCAGTTCGCGGAGCAGAAGGACCGGCGACCGGCGGACCTGTGCCGCCTGGGGACGCCCCCCTCCGCCCCGACGTGCCGTGAGGTGCGCGGGCTCTGTGGAGACTTGAGTATCGGGCTGGGGGGGGAGCGGGAGGGGATCTGGGCGACGTGCAGTGCTCGGCGGCGCGCCCAGGGGGAAGGCAGACGGGGGCGCGTCGACGCCTTCTCCGAAGCCACGGGGCTTCTCAGAAGGCCCCGCCGCCTTCTGAGAAGGCCTGCCCTCTCTCACTTCCCCTCGGTCCGCCGCCGAGGCACAGCGCACAGGGGATGCCGCAATGCCCTGCGCCGCTCGCGGAGGGCACCCGCTGCCGCTGCCGTGGGCAGGGTCCATTTCGACCTGATCGATCGGATTCGATGTGGATTCTGGCTGGCCCGATCGGATTGGATCTTGATTTCACGCCGATCCGATGGGACCCGACGCTCACATGGCGCTGTTGTGCATCCTGGTGCAGCCGATCTGACTGGATTCCGACTCCGCGCCGATGCGGTCCGATTCGACGAGCAATCCGCTTCGACCCGACTTTCCGATCCCATGCTGGCTGATCCTGCCCCGTGGACTCGGCTCTGCTGGGGTGCGCGCGCCCGAGCGCTCGGCGGTGGGCGCCGGCGCGCGCCGGGGCCGCGCGGCGATGATCGGGATGCAGGCCCCGCAGCAGGCCCCGCCGCAGCCCAGCGGCGCGGCGCAGTCGCCGCTGCTCCGGATCCGCGCGGGCATCGAGTCGGGGAGCGTGGCTGAGGTGCAGGCTGGCGTGCAGGAGCCTCGCCTCGGAGACGCCTTCCCACCTGGGCTCGCGGCCGATCGCCAGCTGGAGCACGGCCTCCTCCAGGGGCAACGTTGGAGGCACAAGCCACCGTGCACGGTGCGCGGCCAGAGGCGCTCTGGAGACAGTTTTCCATATCCCCTTGCACCTTGCGATGACGGGCGTGACGGGGGGGAAGGGGGAGGGGGCCAGTAACGCCACGATTCGCGGCGGCGCCGTCTGGGAGCAGTTTTGGAAAAGCTAATTCCCAGACGGCGACAGCGCGAATCGCGACGTGACCAGGGGGGGAGGGGGGTGGGGGGGCGGGGTCAGTCACGGCCGTCGTCGCGAATTGTAGAAATACGGGCTTCTGGGGAGCGCCACGGGTTCTGACGTTACTCAGTGGAGTCTGACGAGGCAATCTCACAGTGTGCAACCGTCGCCGACGTCATGAGCAGGGGACGTCTAACCATCTGTTCATGCACGCCCTACTCGCCAAAAGATCCGTGGGGTGGACGACCCTTGCAGGGGAGCAACGGCAGCAGGGGTCAGAGCAGGAGACGACACCTGGGGACCAGGACGATCCCGGAGCCAGGATAGGCTCAAGGGGAGGGATGGCCAAGGGGGGGATGCATCGACCTCCAACCGCCAATTGTGCGCCGATGGGGACCCGATAGCCCGACCCACCCAGGAACGTGCGGATTCGCGGGTCCTGTCGCCGATCTTTTGGCGAAACAACGCCAGCTCCAGCTCGAGGTTACAAGCTGCTCCTGGCAGTTGGGGAGGGCTCGGCGAGGGCCGCAGGCCCAGGGTGCCGGCGCCCGGCGAGCCCGGCTGCGAGCCGGAAGCCTTTGGAGGCGACGCTGCTCCTGGCATGATGGACCCTGCGATCCTGGCGTCTCCATGTTTTCGAGCCGGGCGTTTTCGCCAGGTGTTGGACCCGGGACCCTCACAGGTCGAACCCGCTCGAAGAGTGGCGCAGAAAGATGGGGTTCAGGGCTCCCGTCGTGATTTTGTGCGACGTGTCAATTTTTTCGCGCCGCCGGATCTCAGGGGAGGCACAGGGCTGCGGTGAGCAGACAGCACCGCAGCAGTGGTCAGTCACACACCTCAGCACCGCCCCCCTCCTGAGGGGGCCCTTTCCTTTCTGCGGCAGTTTGCAGGCGAACATGTTGCGCGCGGAGGAGGTACTGGTCACAATCGACATGCATTCGAGCAGAGCATTGCGGCGCCATTCTCAGCGGAGCCAGAGGGCTCAAGTGTGGTTCGTCTGCCTGGCCTTGCGCATCAGCAGCGCTCGCCCCAGCAAGGAATGCAAGGAATGCCATGGTTGCACGCATGCAGCGTTTGTGTTCAACTGCTCAATTGCTGAAACCTTGGGTTCCCTTCGATTCTGTTAAGTACACCTCCATCCTAAACTCGTGTAGGCAAACTCACCACGACCATACCTAAAACGACCATGCCCACAACGGCCACTCTAAACTCGTTGAGACATGCGATGATGCCAACGTGCACTTCTTACGCTCTTGCGCACGCCCAACGACCCCACCCGCTCGCCTTGCGCACGCAGGCCTAATTTGGCCTCCCCGCCTTGCTCACGCAGGCCTAATCTTGGTTGAATTTGGCCAGGACATTCAAAGTGAACCCAACTGAAACCTAAGCTCCGCCGCCTCCGCCCGCCGCGGCGATGGGCGTCGGTGCGGCCTCCATGCTCCGCGCTCGCGTCGTCGTCGTCCTCGTCCTTGTCCTCGTCCTCGTCCTCGTCCTCGTCCTCCTCCTGCTCCTCCTCCTCCTCCTTCTCCTCTGCCTCCTACTCCTCCTGCTCCTCGTGCAGGCTGATGTAGGCATTGGCTGTGGGCTCCACGCCCGTCGTCCCCCTCAGGAGGCCGACATAAATGGCGTGGAGCTCGCCCCGAACGTCCGCCAGATGATCACGCAGTGGCTCTCCGTCAACGCCCCCGGCAGCGCCATGCCGGCGGCCGCGCCCGCGGAGGGGCATACGGGGTGGAGGGGGGGTCGCCATGAGGCGAACGGGCCCCGAGGCGAACGGGCCCCGAGGGGAACGGGTCCCGCCTCGTCCTCACCCTGCCTGCTCCTCATTAAATTGCTCGTCGACCTCCTGCTCCCTGCTCCCGATCCCGCCTGCGCTCGTGCTGCTGCAGTTCTTGCTTCCGCTCCTGCTCGTGATCCAGGGCCGCCAGGAAACGACTCAGTGGAAGAGACTACCTCGGCCGCGTCGTGGTCTGCACCCGCCTGCGACGAGCCGCATTTCCAGGACCCCGACGAGGAGCACATTACGCCCTGAGATCCGCTGTCGCGACAAGAATGCAGCATCGTGCGAAACAGCGACCGGACACCTGGACCCCGGCTTTCTCTGCAGCATCTCTCGCGCCAGACCGGATCCGCGAGGTACCGAGCCACCCGAAGCAGGGAAAGATCGCCCAGCGTGGAAAGATCGTTACGCAAGGATCCCCGGGGTCACCTCCATGAGCGCGAAGATACCCGCGCCTAGCGCGTCGCGGTCAGGACCAGATCAGCTGTCCTTACCCAGAGGAAGGCGGCGCGTCGCCGCGCTGGCGCGACGATGACCATGCGCCTCACGTCGCGGGGTGCGATGCTCGAAGTTATGTAACCAAGGGTGCATGAGGCTAACTTGTGTCGGAGGCCAGTCGTATTGCGCAGCAAATCGGTTCGAGTTCTGGCTTCTCTTAGGTCCCCGTCCTCTTTCCATTCCCCTCTCCCCCCCTGTGTCTCCAACTGAGCGGCGCAAGAAACAGGGTCGTTTGCGCCGACATTGGCGCGTAAGCTGCCCGCGTCAGGTCGCGCGTAAGCGCCCTTGTCTCCACTGAAGCGTGCCGCGCTGGCAGTCCGCTTAAGCCGCCGCGTAAGGCCGCGTAAGGTCATCTCGCGTAAGACCCGCTTTGGTCGTCGCTCCACTGTCATCGGTCCCTTCCGTGGCGTCGTGATAAGAATCAGGACAGGAGGCCTTTTGCCGTTCTGAGCCTCCAGGGGGCCCTCGCAGGGCCCCCGGGCCTGTTTGACAACGGCATAGGGGCGAGACGCCGGCCTCCCGGGGCAGGGGCTCAGACCTTTGGGGGACCACGCCGTGGAAAGTCACGACGTCGGGGGTCCGGGTGTGTGCGGCCTGGATTCGGGCCAGTGGATCCCCAGACCCCCTCAAGTCACGAGAAATCACCAGTTTTTTTGTCGGAAGTTTCGTGTTCTGGGGGCCCTTACCAGGCCACGGGAAAGCTAATTATTCCAACGGTGGGACCCCTCATGAGAATCTGTTTAGTTTGCCCCTCGCTTGTTCCTCGTCGCCTTGGCGGAGACCCTTCTCCCGCCCTCTGTCGCGCCTCCTCCTCATCATCTTTGCCCTTCGGGGCCACGAAACGCTGTGCTGGGTGGTGGCTGACGCATGCGGGCGGTCCCACTGGGACCTTCGGTGGAGCTCCCTATGGGGCCACGAAACGCTGTACTGGGTGGTGGCTGGCGCATGCGGGCGGTGCCACCTGGACCTTCGGTGGAGCCCCCTATGGGGTGGTGGTTGACGCATGCAGGCGGTGCCAGTGGGGGCTTCGGTGGAGCTCCCTATTGGGCGACGAACCGCTGTAGTGGGTGGGTGAAGGGTAGGGAGGAAGGAGGAGGGGGGGAGGGGGAGGAGGAGGAGGGAGGAGGAACAAAGGAAGGAATGAGGGAGGGAACGCGGGGACCGTCTACTCATACTCAAAACGAGGACGCAGCTCCACATGATGGTTGGGAAACATACTACCAATAATCATACTGATAATACTTTAACGAAAAAGAGGCCGCCTAATACTCTCACGGATAATGATAAGACTACTACGACGAAACATATCAACATCACAGTTCTACGGAGACGAAACAAGAGGCATAAAACGAATACGAAACCGGATACGAATAAGAGGATCAAGGCGAACACTTCATACTACGATTAAGGCGAACAACATTTATAATACGACATACACTAACACGCATAAGACGGGTCATATTAATAACAATGCGCAAGTAAACCACACTAACAAATACGAGCGTGAATGCTAACACTACGATCAATCATATTAATCATAAACACATTATGAATAACGATACTACGATCACTCATGCGACTCATAATAAGAACAACCGGCATAACCCACATGCTGAGAAAACGAGTTGTATGACTCAAACTAATACCAAGGATAATACATAATAATACATACTGATACCATTACGAATGCTATTGCGGAGGAGGGGGATAAGGAGGAGGAGTCGTTACCATACGCTGCTTGCCGCCGTTCATGTACATGTCAAACCTTGCTTGTACTGCTAGTTGGCCATAGCTATCTTGGATCGGAAGAGAGCCGCGCGCGTGCCCCGCGCGCGTATTAATCATACAACACACTTTCCTTTCCACAGTGCTTAACGGATATTATTACGTTTACTTTCCGCCATGTCCTTGGATCCGCTACTATGGACCCCAACATTACGACCAGTTCTACCTGATGATTTGAGCCCTGTTGGGCTTAAGTTGGGTAAAGATGGGTTATCAGCCGAAAGTTCCAATCCAAGGACAACCGACCATGTCGGCCGCTTTGGAGTAAGCAAGAACACTTCCTCGCAAGCTGAGAAGAATGAGGGAGGTGATCTCGGCCCAACAGAGGTAGGAAAGCATAACAGCCAAGTCGACGGACCAGGACAGTCGACCTCCCAACGCATCCAAGAATCAGAGAAGTCGATATTGCGAAGTTCTGTCGCACCCGCGCGTCAACTGTCCCTTCCGAGCGGGACAACAAAGCCATCTTGACGCTGGTGACGAAGAACCCGTTCGCCCTGATTCGTGATCCTTTTTTTGCTGGCAATGTGATACGAGATGACGGCGCTCCAATTAATCGTGGACGGCAGGATACACCGGTTCCAGATGACGATTCAGAAGGGGAGGATGAATGGCGCGGAGGAGAATGCCGCTCACGCAACCCATTGTCCGACGATGTCGCGCAAGCCTACGTCGTGAACTCCAGCTCGTCCGACGAGGAGGTCGATGTTCAGTCTCCGAACGACAAGAAGGAGACGATATCCAGATCGAGCTTATCGGAGAATCCTGAAACATTGACCCTCGAGGGTACGCCGAAGGAGCGTTCCACGGACATGTCCGACGTAAGGGAAAAAGCGCGAGCCCTTTGGGTGGCGGTTCCCGCGAAGAAGACCCGGGGGCCTCATCCGGGGGGGCCGCGACAGCGGTTCGTCTCTCTCTCTCGAGGTCGTCGACGTCTCGACTTACGATAAGAGGAACTTGCGCGCATCGCAGGCCAGCATGTGCAGAAGACCCGGAGAACTGTTGTCCGGGCAGAACAACCGACGCCCGGCAATGCCAGAAGCCTATGTGCCGAGGATGTTTGTTCCAATGCCTTCTGTGCAACTTGAGTTAAATGTGCCGGGGGTGCTTGCCTCCGAAACAACGCAACTGCTTTGCGCTGGAACCGCGGGTGGGGGCAGCATCAGGAGATGAGACAACGCAAGCTGGAGCAAGGACGCCTCTCTGACATCGCGACCATACCTTCCATGATGGCTGGCGTGGAAGCTAACCGGAGAAGGCAAAACGAACTCATTGCACAACGAGTGGAATACGAACTCAATGTGTTCCTTCGAAGGGAAAAGGAGGAGAAAGCTGCCCTTCATGAGGCTGCGCTTGCGGCGGGCCGCGAGGCAAAGGAGCGAAAGAGGGCTGAGCAATCCATTGCCGAACGGGCCCGTCTTGCCCTCCGGGGGGCACAAGACCGGGAAGCTAGGCTTGGGGAACAGATCCGTCTGAAGCTCCAGGAGGCTACTGCAGCGCATGAACAATCCGTCTCCGAAGCGGAACAAATTGCAGCGATGTCCATTGCCGAGAGACGCCACCTGGAGGAGAAAGCCGTCAATGCACAGAAGACGGCTGAGTCTACCCTTCGCGATGCTCAGCTAATGCAGCTACGGCTCGAGAACGAGGCAAGGGCTTCACAAGCTGGCGCTGCCGACGTGCATGCTGAGCTCAAGCGAGTCGCAGAATCCGCGACGGCAATCCAGGGGGAAGCCTGTGGGGGGGCCATGGCGCTGATCCGAGCAAGGGCGGGGGCTCTCGAGGGGCAAGAATCAACCGCTCGCAGGGCGACAGAGCTGAGGTCCCCGCAACAACGCGCTCAGCGCGATGTGGCGACTTCTCAAGCCGGCCATGCCAGCGCGAGGATCGAGGCGGAAGAAACAATTCAGGCCTTGCGAAAAGCCGAGATGCAGGCTCATTTGGAAGTTGAAGCAGCCAAACAGCACTTCCAAAGAGAAGCCGTTTCGAATGTGCAGGAATGGGGGGCCCAGCGTGAGCTGACGCACCGGCAACAAGCGATGCAACTGGTGCAGGACGGTCTGCAGGGCATGACGAGCACGGTAAGGAGGGCGGTCTCGGCGACAGCAACGCGCGCTCGATCGACCGGCGGGGCCATGTCCCAGCGAGAGGGCTCGCGATCCAGACCGGCCATGTCCGACGAAACCAGATGCTTCGTGTGCAACGCATCCGACGCCCCGCGCGCGCGCGAGCGGTGCCGACGAACGTTCTGCGCCCGGCACTATGACTGGGTGATGAGACGCTGTCGGCAGTGTGACGACGACCGGGCGCGTGACCACGAGGCCACGTTGAGGGGGCGGCATGAAGAAGAAGAAGCCGCGATGAAGAAATGAATGCAAGAAGAGGGAGAGGTAAAGGGGTCCCGAGACGAAGTGGGGGCTCAGGCCGAGGCCGCAGCTCTTCGTCGCGTGCGCGAGCTTGAGGAAAATGCTGAACTGCGCGCGCTCAAAATGGAAGAAGCCGCGCGTGCCCATGCCGATGAGATGCGAGAGAAGGCCGAAGCGCTGATGAAAGAATCAGAAGTCAGCGCCGCTAAGGCCAAACAGAGAGATCGCGACCGCCTGGAATTGGTCCTCAGCGAGGCGCAAAAACAGAAAGAGGAACAAAGCAAGAGGAAACAGGAGGGACCATGCGACGCCAGCCCGGCCGAAGAAGACCACGGCCACTGCGGGGGACCTCGCAGGGGATGGCGACAAGCCTCTTCGCCAGGGCCATGCTCGCGGTGACGGGGATCAGCCAGGAGGGAAGAATGGCGGCAATGGAGGTGCGCCTGGGGGCGACGACCCCGCTGATGGAAGCGATGGTGGCGACGACAGCGATGGCGAGGGCCCCGATGGAGACGATGATTCTGAGGGGGGACATTCCAGTGATGGTGGTGATGATAGCTCCGAGGAAGAAGATGAAGAAGCCGCAAACCGCAGGATCCGCCGATATGCCGCAGCTCAGAACGCCGGGCAAGACGATCTGGGGGGGGGTTGGCCCACCACCCCCGGGCCCTCCTGGAGGAGGTGGAGGCCCGGGGCTCCCAGAATGTGAGGGACTGGTTCCGGCCGCGACCCTATGGGTGGCGGATCGAATTGACAAAATTACCCTTGACCCCCTGCCAGACGCGGGCACCTTCCGAATGTGGAAGAAGTCCGTCATGCGCGCAGTGGCCTCAAATTCGCAGCGAAACCATGTTTTGGCGACGAAGTGGGTAGCTGGGGCAGTCGAACCCAAATCGGTGAAAGCTAAGGCTTGAAGGACCCAGGCCCATACTTTGGGAACCTTGACGTACGCGTAGAGGCAGATCTCATTGCGAAATTCAACAAGATCCAGAAGTGATCCAGGTGCTTCCCGCGCCCTTCGACATCTCGCCAACGAGGTTGATCGCGCTGACTCCGCACAACTGCAGAATGGTAAGCTGCTTTCGGGTAGATCGATCCTTCGCACTATCCAGACTCATGCCACCACTCGGGAGGACCATGGACAGGTGTATACCTACGAGGATCTCATGGCCGTTCAGATCAAGGGAGGGGGTAAAGAGGCATACCGAGACCTTTACCACTTCTATGACGAATGGATGAGGGTGACGCTAGAGATGGAGAAACCCCATTAATCCTTCAAACCATCCATCCACAGCCACTTCTACAAACAGATGAAGAAGTGCCCATGTATGACCATGGCCCTTGCTATGTACGATTGTAGTGGCCTTCGGCCAGTGCCGCCGATCCGGGTCGCTCGGGGTTATTCTCCAGACGCAGAAATTATGGGCGCACACTCAAACGCACACACACAGTCACACCACTTAACTTGCGCCGCAGACATGCGCACACAGCAACACCCACACACACATACTAGTTGGGAAACGCTCCTGTAGTACTAGTAGTAGTATTAGTAGTAGTAGTAGTAGTAGTAGTAGTAGCAGTAGTAGTAGTAGTAGTAGTAGTAGTAGTGGTAGTAGTAGTAGTAGTAGTGGTTGTGGTAGTAGTGGTAGTAGTAGTAGAGGCCTCGTTCCGCGGCTTCTCTCGACTTCCCGCGGTCTCTCTCAAGTTTCGAGCACGCGGTGAGTTTCACGATATATGTGTGTGTATGTACGCGTGCATGCATGTATGCATGCATTGATCATGTGTGCCTGTGTGTAGGTACGTATGTATGTATGTATGCTTGTGCGCGTATGTATGTATTTAGTTTGTATGTATGTTTGTATGTGTGTATGATAATATGTGTGTATGTGTGTGAATGTAAGTATGTATGTCTGGAAGATTGTTTTTCTATGTATGCAAATGTGTTTAAATGTAGGTATGTATGCATGTGTGTATGGATGTGCGTTTGAAGAGCGAGGATGTTTCAAAGAAGAGGCACTCGGTGACGCGATCGTTGAGGGATAGGAGTGAGGTCGCAGAGGAGGAGGAGGAGAATGAGGAAGAGGCGATAACTTGAAGGAAAACGATGAGACGGAGGACATCCTGCCGGTGGCGCCCTGGGCGGTGCCGCGGAAGAAACCGGGGGCCTGCCGGAGGCAGTCTGGAGGCCTCTGGGGAGCTGTTTTGGGGCCTCTTGGAACCTCTTTTGGGCCTCTTGTGGGCTTCTTGGGGCCCCTTGGGGGTCTCTTGGGGCCTCCTGGGGGCCTCTTGGGGCGGAAAGCTCGGTTCTTTCGGTTCGTGGTCCCCCTCTTGGGCCCCTCTTGGGGCTCTCTTGGGGCCTTCTTGGGCTGTCCAGAGGCCCTCTTGGGCCGTCTTGGGGCCCTCTTGGGCCGTCTTGGGGCTCTCTTGGGCCGTGTTGGAAGCATCGTGGGCCGTCTTGGGACGGACTTGGGGGCCTCTTGGGCCGTCTTCGAGCGTCGGACGCCCGAAAAGGCAAGAACGCTAAAAACCCTGAGAAAACCAATGAAAATCAACGATTCTGGCCTCTTGGGGCCCTCTTGGGAGGCCTCTTGGAAGCTTCTTGGGGCGTCTTGGAGACACCTTGGGCCGTCTGGAGGCCATCTCGGGCGTCTTGGAGCGATTTTTCGGCGACTCGGGGCCCTCTTGGAACCCCTTGGGGGTCTCTTGGGCCCCCCCCCTCCTCCAAAGCGCCGGAAAAAGCGGAGCATGGCGCCCCCCCCCCCCCTATCTTCCACTCCCCCGGAGCGGCCCCGGGGTTCGCCGGAAACTCGCACCCCCCCCCCCCCCCCCACCCCCCCTTCCCCGGCAGAGCCACCCCGGCGACCCCCCCAGAGGCTGAAGCTCAGCCTCGAGGCTGTAGCTGAGACTCCTTGAAACTCACACGCCGGATCGGCGGATAATAGCAACGACCCGTATGGGAAGGGGATGGAGTCGCATGAATGGCTCCTGGGTAGGATCGCTAGCCAGATGCTGAAGGGCCGGGGGGAGGATGACCGAATAACCCAAAAGCAGCAGATCAACAAGTGTGGAGTAAAACGCCACATGACAAGAGGACAGGTGAGGGGAACAAAGGGGTCCCTCACCATGAAGGACGGCGGGCTCGAGAAATCCGTCATCTGCCGACGTTGGCAGAAGGGGCAATGTCCTATCAGTCGGCACGACTGTCCGTGCCTGCGCCCTAAAAAAGCGACGCCCGCGCCACAACAGAAAAGCGGACGGACCCAGGCTGCCGCACTGGGGCCCTCCCATGGAGGGCCGTCCGGGAGGGGCCGGGGAGACAAGGGTGATTCAAGGGGCAAAGGCAGGGGAGATAAGAAGGAGAAAGGCATAGGCAAGAACGGGAAAATGGATCGCCCTAAGAAACAGGATGGGCGCGGCAGCAGCCGCGGTAGTACCAATCCCCCATCTAAGGGTAAGAGTCGAGTTTGTTACGCCTGCAGCCGAGGACCCCAGAATTGCGATGGTTCCTGCGGTCGCGAGCACCGGCCACTAACGAAACAGAAGAAGCAGGAACAAGACGCCTGGGAGCAGAGCCTCCAGAAGGCCGGAAAGGGCTTACCGTGCAGTCGCAACGCGGAGCAGACGGCCGCAGCCGAGAAAAGCGTAAAAGCGCTGAAGTCACCGGCCGCTCCCGCCCCTGACGGAGGAAAGTCGCACGGTAATAAGCCGAGTGGTCCAAAGGGTAAATCCGAGGCAAAGTCTTGGCACCACTTGGACGGTCAAACGTGCCCTTTCGGCGACAAGCGTTGGCATGGTGCCGACATTCCCGGGCATCCGTGATCCGGGGGGGCTGCGCGCCGCACCCATGGTGTTGGCGCCGCCCTGGCGGGAGGTGCTACAGAATGCCACTGTGCAGCTCCTGCTGAACAGGTGCAGCTGGCTTATCTAGCTGTGTCATTCGCCGGGTCACGATCTCGCGCGAGTGTACAAGGGCCTATGGCCAGCCCTGGCAACAAGAGGTCAACCACTACCCCGGGTCCAAACGATAGGACCATAGTGGACAGTAGCGCAATCACTGCGAACGCGCAGCGTCGTTCTGCCGTCGCGAAAACCGATGGCTCTCTCTTTATTGAGACGCTGAATTGTTTGCCGGCAGGCGGGCTTCAGTCGCATCCGAAGGGGGTTCTGAACCAGCTCGAAACGGGAAGACCCAGAAGAAACTCCCTGCGCCATGCTGCGGGGGGCAACGACAAGCGGACAACAGCCGCTGACCAGAAACTTTCGACAGGTCAGGATTCGGGGTCACCGCACGGTTTTGGGATTCGGGTCGTTCTCCGAGGATGTTTCGGGTGATTCGGGCCTCCCAGCCGTGCGGTGCGGACCGTGCGGTGAGGTCTTCGGAATTTCGAGGTCACAGCATGGCCTGTCACCGAGCAGTTTTGTGACCCCCCATCTTCGCGCTATTCCCCACTATCAGGGGCCATCGTTCGTTCGTGGAGCCCCGTTCCCTACAGCAGGGAAGCGGCACAACGGCTTGCACAACGGCTAGCATGACTTGACCTGGTGCACTCGCTGGGTGTGCCTCCACCGAAGGAAAATCATCCTGCTCTCGGTGATGGTGGTACTACTCGGGCTTCCCAGGTGGCCACAAGACTACCACCAACGCCAACATCCAGGATCATCTTCACCCAGTGAAGGGGAACCCCTCGTGTTGGTGTTCGAGTGAGGGGCCGACTACATAATCGATGTGCCACCAAATTGATATTTCGTCGAATCTACGAAAATTAAGCTGAGTGTTTTTGTGGATCGACGAACAATGAATGTGTGTTTCGCACTTTCGACGAACATTTTCTGGGGGGTGGATCGGTTCTGTAACCGATCCCCTAGTCGAGGTGTTGTTGTTCTTGCCCAGGCCTCCACCGGTTGGTTTAACCGCCGGGATCTCCAGGAGGCCGCGCCGCGGCCAGGTGTTTTTTTGCGGGCCGCGGTGGCCTGAGCGGCGCCGTGCCCGCGCGGGTCGCCGCGGGGGCTGTCGGTTCGGCCCTCGCCACCCCAGGCGGCAATTCGAAGATGCCTCGCCACCCCGGAGCACTTGCTCTCTCCTGAGATCGTGGCGTTCCAATTTTTCGAGCTGGGCGGTTTGGCCAAGTTTCGGGCCCTGGGACCCTGACAGATCGATCCTGCTGGAAAAATGGTGCAGTAAGGTGGAGTTTAGGGCTCTGGTCGTGATTTTTCACGATGTCTCAGATTTTTGCGCTGTCGGATCTCAGGGTCGTGTGCGACGGGAGAGACCCAGACATGCTCGCGACGGACAGGTTTTCGTCGTGTTCGGCCTTCGAGGGCCCGCGCAGGACCCCGTGACCGTCAAACAAATTTTTCAGGATAAAAGCCGGTCGCGGTGAAAGGGCCGGGATTCCCGGGGACCGCGTACAGATAAATTCTGGACATCGCATGTCTGGGGAGAAAGAGAGAGAGAGAGAGAGAGAGAGAGAGAGAGAAAGATGGAGGTGGAGAGAGGCGAAGGTGGAATTCTCCTCCTCCCTCCCTCCTGAGTCCTCTCCCTCCATCTCTCCTCCAAGAATGGGTAGACCAGAGCAACGAATTTTGCTGTGGAGTTGCGGACGAGATTTGTTTAGGTGTTCGGTCATTGGAATCGCTCTGGAGCGCTGCGGAAGACGAGGACGAGATTTGAGCGACCCACACGTCCAACGTATGGGACAAATCAAGACGGAGGTGTCTGGCCGTTTTCGGCCTCTGAGCGCCCTCATTGGGCCCGGGGACTGTCAGCGAACGACTCGGAACGAAAAACTTGCCCAGGGGAAAGGGTCGGGACTTTATATGTGCGTAAAGCTATACATGTATATGTAGATATACAATATTTCAAGAAAGGCATGGGATCTTTGGATATTCAAGTGGTTCGAAAATTTCGAGTAATTAGAGGCGCTGGGGCCCCGCTGGCGGCGCCTTTGGCGCCGCTTCTGGCTCCGCCCCTGGCTCGCTTTGGGGCGGGGGTCGACCGCCGATCCAAGAAAATCCGCGCGGACCTCCGAAAGTTTTCTATGTGTGCAGTTTGTCGGTCGTCTAACCAAAAACCGCGTCTGTCCGCAACATTCGATCGTGCAAGTGATTCGGTCGACCCGCGATCGAGGGCCAGACATGCGACGTCTTGATTGTGAAGGCCTGACGGCCGGTGCCGCCGACCCTGAAAGACATCGACGACGACCAGGAGGGGGAGGAGGAGGCGAAGGAGGGGGAGGAGGAGGCGGAGATAAGGAGGAGGAGGAGGAGAAGGATGAGGAAAAGGACTCCGCGACTGAGGGCCAGACATGCGACGCCTTGCTTTTATCAATTCGGTGTCCTCGGAAGTCCCGACCCCTTCCCCAGGGCCGGTTTTTCTTTCCGAGTCGTTTTCCGACAGTCTTGGGGCCTGGCGAGGGCCCCCCTCCCCGGAGGCCCAAAACGGCCACCAGCAACCTTCCGGGGGACCAGAAACCAGAAATCAATCTCCTGACCTGTTCCTGGGTGCGTTCTGGCTAAAATTTTGAGGTGAATCCAACCTTCGAGACGAGGAGCCCCCTTGAGGCCCCAAGAGCCAAATTTCGATCCTCGATCCCCGAAACAGCCCGACCTCCCGTCGTGATTGTTTCACGGCGCGCGAGCACGTCTGGGACCCAGGCAGCTTCTGGACAGCCGCGGCCCCGGCCGGGTCCAACGACCGCGCCGGGCGGGGCGGCGCGCGGGCGGGCTGCCAGGCCAGCAGCCCGGCTCCGCAGGCGCCCGCGCAGTCGCAGCAGCCCAACGAGGAAGGGGGCCGACCCTGCACCCTCTTCGCGGCGGCGTCAGCCTGTGATTCCTCCTCCTCCGCCTCCTCCTCCTCCTCCTCCTCCAGCTGCCGCGGCCCCAGCACCCGTCTAACTTTGGAGCGGGGCCACTGGGCCTAGGCGTGTGAGAGAGTCTGCTCCGGCCGCGCTCCGGCCGCGCGCCGCCGCAGCCGCGCTCGGCCACATTTCCGCCGCCGCCGCCGCGTCCGGCCCACCTACCACCACCGCCGCCTACCATTCCTCCTCCTTCTCCTCCTTCTCCTCCGCAGCTCCTCCTCGCCCTCTGCCTCCTCATCCTTCTCGGCGCCTCATGCCTTGCGGCCAGCCTCCGCCTCCTCCACCGCAGCTTCTTCCCGCTCCTCAGCCTCTTTCGGCTCCCCCTCGCCGGTTACCTCCTCCTCCCCCTCCCCCTCCCTTTTCCTCCTCCTCCTCCTCCTCCTCTTTTCTTCTTCTCCTCCTCCTCCTCCTCCTCCTCCTTTTCCTCGTTTTCCTCCTTTTCCTCCTCTTTTTCCTCCGCCTCCTCCTTCTCCTCCTCCTCTGCCGCTCTCCGCCGCCGCTTCTCCTCCTCCTCCTCCGTCTCCTCCTCCTCCTCCTCCTCCTCCTCCTCCTCCTCCTCCTCTTTCTCTTTCTCCTCCTCCGTCACCTCACTCCTCGACGCTGAGGGCGTCCCTCAAGTTGGTGCTGGAGCACTTTCGGCTCTTCTAGACGAGTGGGTGCCGCTGTGGTGTGTAGCTGATAGGCAGGATGATCACCCATCCCAGTGGTCTGTCCCAGTTGATGAAGCCCAATTGGAACCTGTTGCCCTGGATCGGCTCCTGAAAGTTTGTCGTAAGTATGCTCCTGGCGCAGGCTTGGGGTGGGATGGTTTTCGCCCAAGATGGGTTCTGAGCCTCACGGAGGAACACCAGCTAAGGCTTTTAGATATTCTGCACAGGTTTGAGGACAGACCACAGGATCTTCTCGCCTTCTTGACCAACATGGTCTTCTTAGACAAGCCCGACGGCGGCGTGCGCCCCATCGGCCTCCTCTGCCTGGTGCTGCGCTTGTGGTCGCGACTCCGCCAGCCATACTGTCAGGCATGGGAGAAGAAGCATGCAGAGGCCTTCTATTGGGGCACGGGGCCACACAATACCTGTGAGAGAGCTGGCTGGGTCCACAATCTCTTGGGAGGATTCTGCAAGGAAGTTGGGTTTCAGAGCGGGTCCGTCTTGGTCGACCTGAGCCGCTTCTATGAGCACATTAGGCACCTTGATCTCAGAGCTGCGGTGCTCCAGTATGGGTTCCCCATCAAGGTCCTCAGAGGGTACTGCACGATCTATGCTGGATATAATGCTCTGATGTATGGAGGTGCCGTATCGTCGGCCTACTTGGCGAATGCAGCTGTGGTGGCTGGATGCTCAGAAGCGACGACTCTGGCTAAGTTATTGCTGCTCCGTCCGCTTCTTCTCACACAGCAAGGTAGGCCGAATTTATTCATCCGCAATGTTGTAGACGACGTTGCACTTCAGGCGTGTGGTCGGCCAGTTCAGGTAGCTCAGGTGCTATCGAGTGCCGTCGCTCAGCTCTTCTCGTGCTTTGAGGAGCTCCACTTGCCTGTGAACATCAAGATAACGAAGTACTTGTGCACGCGAGAGGTTCTGGCTCATGTTGCTGGCTCCTGGTGTTTGCCTGGTACGTCTCGGGTCGAGCATGCGCGCAACCTTGGCACGGATGCGACGACGGGCTCACGACGACGTGTCGGAGTGCAGCGAGCGAGGTTCATCGATGCGGGTTCGCGCTCGGAGCGACTTCGACTGCTGAGGGAGGCTGGGGCTGATGTGGCTCTTGTACAGAGAATGGGGGCCACGGCATCGGCCCTCTGGGGCAGTAGTGTCTTGGGAATTTCGCCGACGGCCATGCACGGCCTGAGGCTCTCGGCGGCCCACGCTTTAGGACGTCATCCCAAAGGGGCCTCCCTGGGAATTCGGCTGCACTCTTTTCGACTGGGAGAAATCGTGGACCCTTTGGTGGCCTATGCTGGCCATGTGGCCTTTCAATGGGCCACCGCTGTCTGGGACAGTTTTCCCAAGGTCTCGATTTTGAATGCGACGGCCGACGCGGCCATAGCTCGAGCAAATTCGAAAAGGCACCCATGGCAAGGAGCTGCGACACCTGCGGATGTGGCAGTGCTCAGTCTCGCTCGTGTGGGCTGGACTTTTCGTGATTTTCGAATGGTCGAAACTGACCTCGGGCAGGTCTGGAATCTCTCTCAGATTGCGCCTGTGGAGTTTCGGTTGCAGGTCCGTGTTGCGGCCGTCAGAGCGTCGGACAGGCAGGCGCTGATGCAGGTAGGCGATGAGCTCCAAGGGTGCCCTCTTTTCTGGGGTGTTGTGAAGCCTCTCATTCGCTCCTCCTCCTCCTCCTCCTCTTGGAAGCCCCAGCATCAGAGGGCCCTCAGGAGCCTCATGAGCAATGTGCACTGGCCTCAAGCAAGAGTGCACAGGCATGGGCATCACAGTTGCTGCAAGTGTAGGCTGTGTCAGGAGGGGGCGGGGGCCCTTTTTCACAGACAGTTCCGTTGCTCGGCCCACGCTGTGCTCAGGAGAGACATGGTCTCGCCGCAGCCAGCCAGACGGGCGGCCCGTGTGCTCGAGGGAGGGGGGGAGCTGGC